CGGCTCCAGCCGATGATGGGGCGGATGAGGACAACAAGAACCGCTGTGCCTGTGAGGTGATGGGGAGAGAGAGGGATTGGGGGAGGAGGAGACGGGACGGGAGAGGCGCGTATAAATGGGCGGTACTGAAACCAAGAAAAAGCTTTCCCTTCCCTTCCTCCTTCCCCAGCAGCTCCACCTAAACCTCATTGCTTTCACATTTTTTACTACTCCTTCACTACAAAACTGCAAAGCCCAAATGATTTTTCCTTTTCCTCTTTGCCAAAAACATATTTATTTTCTAATAAAAATACATTTTTTTTTATCTCTATAAAAGTTGAGGTCTTGTTATTTACTACTCCCTTTCCCAGCCCTGACCTTTCAACTCCTGGTGATGGAATTATTAGGTTGGGTGCTCACTGCAAGTGGTGATTACACTGGACTAATCATGCTGTCAAAAGTAAGGTAGAAGGGTTTTTTAATGTTTGAAAATAGTATTAGCAGTGTGTTGGGGTGTGGAACTAGTAGTACTAAGCTGGGTAAGATCTGCAGGAGTGACAAGTGAGGGGTGGCTATAAATTGGTGAGGCAGGCAGACATGAACAGTGTGGGTTGCTGTAGCAAGTAGTAGTACTAATACTACAAGTAGCCATCACTTGGATTCCAAAAATCCACTTCTAGATTATCATACATGGGCTAGGGAATGGAATAACTGTGCATCCAGCATCCATCAACAGATTGTGTAGTACCACATCCGTCCCGAAATACTTGTCGGAGAAATGCGACGAATATTTCCGGACGAAGGGAGTAGTACCCTGTAAATGCAATGCCCTTTTTTGAACAAACATATATTGCTACTCATGTTTTCCCTTTCAGTCTTGGTATACCAGTACAATACTACCTCTCTCTCAGTTTACAGGACGTGCGCCTATCCCTAGGTCGTCAATTTGACCAACATAAACTTTGGAGTTTCTACTTTTAAAAGGTATATTTTTTGTGTTATATAGTTTATATTAGGGTGATAAAATTGGCAACCTAGATATACGCGTAGGACTTGTAAACTGAAATGGAGGTAGTAAAAAAATTCACTCGTTGTAACCCGTTGTACTTTTTTGGCGATGGATCGTTATAGTGCTGTAATTGGGAGTAGTAACTATGTATCTTGTATCTCGTGGGGAGTAAGCATTTATGCATAACTACCGCGCATGCATTTTTTTTCAAAGCACTTAAATGAAAGGGTACGGTACTTCTTCCAACCCAGTTTATAACTTGTACACGTATCTCAAAAATTAAGTTTGACCAATAAAATATCTGTTGTGTGCCATCGAAATTATTGTTGATCATCTATTTCAAAAAAATAACCACATCACAGATGTCGTAAGTTCCAAACTATTCTATTCAAAAGTTAAGTTTGGCCATCATTAGATTTGTATTCGGAAGAAGTTTAGATGGTGTGGTTTTTTTGGCGGATTTTTTTTTTGATTTATTCATTAACAATCAAGGCGGTATAAGGAACACCAGAAGTACTAGAAATTATGTTTATATCCGTAGACCATCTACCGATAACTACAAGCCCTGGAATGAGCCGAAGGTACACCGCCGTCATCGCCCGTCCCTCGCGAGAGTTGGGTAAATCTTGTTATAGTAGACAGTCGAGAAAGCGCCGTGCTAAGGCCTCACAAGACCAGTGCATCAAAACAGGAATCGTCGCTGACGAAGAGGATTGTTGATCGAAAGGATCCAACCTGTAGACACACTGACACATACAAATGAAGACCGAATCCAATCGAGTCCACCAAAGACAACCGCCGAGCGAACCCCGTGAGATCTGCTGGAGAAACACCTTCACACGCCCTACGATGCTAGGCGCGTCATCAGGACGGGAACCCGATGGGGAGAACCTTAATCCATCTTCAGGGAGTTATTGCCGTCTCACGTTTCTGAGCAGGCATGAACCCTAACCAAACTCGCAAAAACACTTAAAAACGGAGCCCTTCCGACGACAAGGGTCGAGATCCATGTCAACCCGTGGACCTAAGGCCACAAGAGGTGAGATATATCTGCAGCGACACCGGCGGGCAGTGGCGATGACTGGACCCAGGGTGGCGGGGCTGGGCCCGGGGCGTTAGGAAAATTTCCTTCCTTGACTGAAGCATGTTGTGGACTGTTTGACACTGTAACTAAACTGTAGCAAGCCTGGGACCCGAGTCTTGGCCCAAACGTGGCTCTGCCCCTTCCGGCGGGGGCCAGAAACCCTAGTAGCCATGTTCGCCCCAAGGCAAGAAACAAAGGTGCGATTTTTATGTCACATGACTCATATATTATTGGTCTAATTGATGATTGAAGTTAAACCTTACGACCTCTTCAATTCAAGAGATTTCAATTGGATTTTGGAGGATTGGAATCCCTAGGAAAAAATTCTACATTAATCATTTGACTTGTAGGACTATATTCTATAGGAGTTTTTTCTAAGGAAATATTTATACTACATTTCATAGAAAATCTAACATCCACACAAACTTTTTGAAAGAAATCTTTGTATTTCTTATGATGCAATCAAACAAACTCAAATTCTGTAGAATTCCAATGGACAGGACATTTTAGTTATGTTTATTTACTATTCCTACATTTTTTACTATTCTGTGAACGAAAGACACAATACTCAGGTGTGGCATCAAAACAACCAGGAAGCTTAATTGGGGCAGTCAATCCAAGCTCCACCATTAGCTTTCAGGTTGGACTAGTCACTAGAGTTACATGTAAAATTATGAAAGTAGACGATACCTTTTGTGTTGCCATGAAATTGAATAGTTTTTAAATATTGAGTAGAATACTCACTCAATCCTTCTGATTTAAATTACGTGAGAAATTTCTACATAAAAACAAAAGAAACTTAACATGAAAAGTCGTGCATGTCACAATTAAATGTAATGTAATTTAAAAGATTCTCATGCATAGATTAGACGAAAGTTGATGGATGAAACTAGTAAACCAATCTATCCGCTACAATAATTTTAATGATGAGCACACATGTTGAGAAAATTTGAAGTGGTGGGATCACTGACACGTCTCAAACGTATCTATTTTTCTGAACTCATTTGTCATATTTTTTTTGGCTTTTAATTTGCATGATTTGAGTGAAACTAATCCGGACTAATGCTGTTTTTAGCAGAATTGAAAAATTGTATTAGCAGTGCATTGGGGTCTGGAACTAGTACTACTAAGCTGGGTAAGATCTACAGGAGTGGTAAGTGAGTGGCGACTATAAATTGGTGAGGCAAGCAGACATGATCAGTATTGGTTGTTGTGGCAAGTACTACAAGTAGCCATCACCTGGATTCCAAAAATCTACTCCTAGCTTATCATACATGAGCTTAGAATGGAATGACCGTGCATCCATCAACAGATTGTGTACCTTGTAAATGCCCCCTTTTGACAAACATATATTGCTAGTAGTAGTAATGTTTAGTTTACCAGTCATGTTTTCCCTTTCAGTCGACTTGTTATACTGATTATTATATTTTTTCTTTTCTTCGTTCTAACCCATTGCACTACGAATTGTGAGGAGTACTCTGTATTCGTGTGGAGTCAGCATTTATGCATGACTACCCACATGCATTTTTCAAAACACTCAATGAAAGGGTATACTTCTTTCAATCCAATTTATAATGTGTACACATATTTCAAGAATTAAGTTTGATCGTCAATTTGACCAATAAAATATGTGTTCTGTGCCATCAAAATTATTGTTGATCATCTATTTCAAAAAATAAGTTTGACCATCGGTAGATTTGTATTCGGAAGATGTTTAGACAGTATGATTTTTATGTCACGTAACGCATATATTATATGTGGGATTCAACTAGTTAAGTATTATATGTGGGCGTCAGGGTTGCATTCCCTGGCGTCGCGCGTGGTGGTCGAGCCGTCTGCGGGCCGCTCGGGTGGCGTGGCGGTGGGGCCAGGCCCATTTCTCTCTTTCCTGCCAGATCCAAGTCAGGGGCGGCAAGGTGCGTCCTCTGCTCACCTCCTCCCGCGGATCTCGCACTCCCTGACGCGCCTTGCTCGGTTCCACCCCTGTTGGCTGCTTCGGCGGTCTGGTGTTAGACCGGCAGGCGCTCGGTCGCCGTAGCAGGAGGTGGTTCCCCTCCTTGTGGTGGTGGCTCCGGTCCCAGCAGCAACGTGGCTTAGCAAAAGGGTGACGAGGGTGATGCTATGGGCGAAAGCCCTATGTCGGCTTCGGTCGGCATCGGCGGTAGCGACGCACTGCAGCATCGGATCCCTTCCTGGAGGTGCCGTTGGGTGATGCATTGGTTCCCT